TAATGCTTGAACATCATCAATCAGCTGGTTAGATAATTTAGTATAAGAATGTACTGCTACCCTCAACCCCGCTGAACCTGTCCCCATGACTTCCAGCCCCACTAATAAGGGAATGAACTGAACCGCCCTCTTTGTGCAGCCTTAGAAGCAGGCCTGGGCATTCTGCTGCCACCTGTGCCCTGCTCCCCACTCCCCTGTTGTTGCTCCCTTTCTTTTTTCTCCCGTTTCTCCTCTGCTCTCTATCCCCCCTGGTGCCTCATGCCTCCCTGTCCTAGGTGACTGCCATTGCTGTGCTGCATCATCCCATAGTCACATTTTACTCACCATCTTTCTACTTACCATCTGTTCCTCTTTGTTGCCTAGGCCTATAGATTACTCCCCACCTCTTCTCTATAGCCGGCAAAAACCACATAAATGGGGAGGGAGCAAGCAAGTTACAGAAGCAAATCGGAGACGTCTGGGCTCTCCTCTCCCTGTGGGGCACCTCCAGAGCAGGCATTGCTAGCAGCAGCTCTCTCCTCTGGCCCCAGTCCTAGGCTGCACACAGATCGTGCAGGACCATGCCATCTGGCTCTGAGCTCTATCTGCGGACCCAGATCTCTGGACTCCTGAGGGGAAACCCTGCGCTCCTTCTGCTCTGCCACACCTCTCTGGGAAGACCTCTTGTGGAAGAGTGCAGTGCAGAAAGGCACGCGTGTGAGTGGGCACTTTGGGCCCCCTGGCACGCGCACCTGCTCCATCCCATGCTGCAAGCCACATGACTAGCATGCATTAACGGGACCAAGAGGGGCAGGTGAGCATGTGTACCGTGGGCCATGCCACCTGGAGTTGTCTTGTTTGGCCATTTACCAAGAAGGCGACTTTCACCTGATTTCCAAGCATTCCTTGTCTTCTGATGGGCATAGCATGATTTGACATCTTAAAAAAGATGGGGAGAGAGTGTCCCTTTGCTCTCACCAATCCCTAAGAGATGGCAACAGGCCGGGCCAGGCATGTCTTGTGGAAATAGCCATCAGGGCATGCCTCCACAGCCTGGCCCAGGCACCCGGAAGGCAGTATCCATCTGGCTTAGCGGGCCAGGGGCTAGGCAGGTAGGAAGCAGTTCTGCTCAGCTCGGCGGCCATCGTGACTACAGCCTTTCTCCCTGCCTGCCTGGCCTTTCCCTCGAAGCCCCACAGACGCCCTGGCCTGATGTTCCCCCCTCCCATCTGGGGTTCCCACTGCCCTGGTGTCAGACTCCTGCCTCTGTGACGGCTTTGGCACGCTGCCTTCCTGCGCCTCTTGTCTCCTCCCATGGTTACACCCAACTCACTGTCTCGTAGCAGAACACACAGCAGGCCGAGGGCGTGAGCAAGGGCAAAGCCCTTCAGCGGTCCAAGGCGCAAGGCGTGCCCTCAGCTGCTGCCGCCATTCCCAGCAATGGGGGTACAGCTTTTCATGTTACACAGCCTGAACGTGACAGCCTGTGGCACTACGCAGGCTTGGTGGTCACTGCGGGAGCCACACGACCAGACTGACCATCAGGAGAGAAAGGCACACGGCACAGCAGCTTCCAGTCGGGCCTTAGTGGCCTCTCCCCGTCACGACACGCACATCTCAGGGCACCGGGCGCTTCTCTCATTTTATTTTCAGACACGCCAAGGAGCGATGTATCAACAACCCCCTAAAAAAGTAGTGTTGTGTCGTGAACAGGGTGACAGGAACCTGGGGGATATGTCAGCACTGCCAAACTGCAGACGGAGCGTCGGCGAGACCAAGTGGCCTGTCAGTGAGGAAAGACATGCCAGCCACAGACTTTCCTTCAGAAACTTGCATAAAAACATTAGCAAAATATCTTCAGTGGAGTTGAGGGGGCCCACAGTGTGGAGCGCTGTGTCCCCCATGGGAGAGCTGAGCACGCAGTGGGGATGGGACGGAGGGCAAAGCGTGAGGGGCCCAGGAAGGAGGGAGAGGCAGACTCGAGGCTACGCCATGCTTGGGTCTGGTTATGTCAAACTGTTCTGCTGCCAAAGGCAGTCACTCAGCGAGGGACGCTGTTCCCAGCAGGAACACACTGGCTCCGCACAACCACCAGGATGCCTGGGTTTGCTGCGGGGCTAAAGTGCTGTGTTAAAAGCAGTCCCTGCATGTGCAGTAGGGTATCTCAGGGACGGCTGCTACCAAAGATGAAAAGCCAGTAGACAGAGACAACCCAGATGCAAGAAGGGTCAGGAGCTGAGTTAGAGCAACCAAGTGGAGATCTGGAGCGCGTGACTCTGCCCAGCCAGGCAGTTCCAGTGGCTGCTGCTCACAGTCCACGCACATGAAGAAGGTACCAACGTCCACATGTGAATCCTGCCTCAGCTGCACTAGCAGGGCAGAACTGCACTTTCTGTGGGTTTTCCCATGGGCAGGGAAAGCTCTGACAGGAAGAGCAGGAAGAAGCTAGGTGTCACGTGGGGCGCATGCTCCACCACTGGCACATGCTCCACCACTGGCACATGCTCACCATCTGAAGAGGTGGTGGTCCCGGTTGTGCCGGGACTTCCCTGTACACTTCAAGCAGCAGGTGGTACAGGGTGGCACATTTTCAACTTCCTAACTCCACAACCCAGAAGGATCCCAAGCGGTGGTCCGTCACCTCCTGCCACGGTCAGGGGATCTGTGTAGCCTATCAGTGTGACCAGGCGAGCAAGGTGTGGTGTGAACTGGTCTTCCCAGCACCCTGCATGTCCTGGGATTCAGCTGGCTGTGGGCAGGAGGAGGAAGAGGCCGTGCTGGTGGCTGCTAAAATCTCATCCAATACTGTGCAGGTCAGCGGCAGACATATGTAGGTCAAGAACCCCTTGCCTCAAGGTTCTCAAAAATGCAAGTTTTTGCTTGCCCAGCAAGGATGCACACACAGAAATTTCGTGAAGACCCTTGTCTGAGGGAGGTGCTCTGGGGAGACTTAGTCTCAATGGAAGCCTTCAGACTGTAGCCACCGCCAGGGGACAGCTCCTGGCACTGTCACTGAATGAAGGAGGCTCCTATGCTGGCACCAGGCCTCAGCCCACCTGAAGGCAAATGCCAAGTGGCAGGGGCTCCCACTGTTATCAAACACAATGGGCAGCAAATGGCTTAGTGAGGAATTTCTCAGGGATGCAGAGTAAAGGTGAGGCAGCGGCAGTGAGGACCCGGCAGGCTGCAGGCAGTGCCGCAGCAGCAGCGAGTACAGCCTCCCAGGTTTCCGTGTGGTCCGTGGGGCACATAGCAGGGCAGTGCCCAGCAACCTCTTGGAATGCTCCGGGGAGAAAGGAGTCAGTGCTGGCTGCCTGAGAGGAGAGAGCACCTGTGATGCCAGCCTTTGTTGGTGAAGCTGAACTTGGAGGACTGTAGAAGGGGCTGCAAGCTCGAGTCTCTGCATCAGCCCAGGGTGCAGCGTGACCCAGTGGCCCTTTCCTTCACATGGAGCTAAGGCTCCTTTCACAGGGACCAGAAGACCGCACAACTTGAACGACAGCTCCTGCGCAGAGAAGGAAGCTGCCATGTGGCTTCCCGGAGCACAACCTGCTCGTCCCCTTTGCCCCGTGCTCAGCACCTTCCCAGCTTGCGGGGGAAGGGAACATGCCCAGATGCGGCGTGTGGAGGTGCACAGGCACCACTGTTCTGCTTCCCATGAGGAATACTGAGGACTTACGGTGCCAGGGACTGTATCTGTAGAACAATGTGTCACTCACACTTTTGCATTTGGACACTGCCCCGGCCAGAGGCTGATGGTGCCAGGACCACTTCTGGCCTGTGAAGTTACTCAGTGCGTTGCCCACCACTGTCAGAATGGCCAAGGAAAAGGACAGGAGGTGACCACTTTCAAACAAAAAGGAGAAATGCAAACCTTCCTGGTTTCTTACGAACATTAATACCTTACGAACATTAATACCTATACATTAATAGCAGCCTAGACAAAAGCCGGGCAGGGACAGGAAGCTGCAGCTGATTATTCTGGAGTAGCAGACACACTAACGTGAAGCACAGGGATCCTCCGGCCATGGCACGCATGGTGGGCTGCACTGCTCCAAGAAGTGGCCTCAGGCTCTCATCTCTTATGCTGATCACACCCCAGGACACGTGTCACAGCAGTCAGGGTGGCCAGGAATATCAGCTCTACCCGGGAGGCTGGCGTCATCACGCTGCGCCAGCCCAGCTGCAGTGTGCAGAGCAGGCACCACGGTGCAAACGGCTGGAGAGCAAGGCCCTGCGCGCGGAGGCCCAAAGGAAATGGAAACCCAAGAAGCCTGAGCAGCCCCCGCACCCACACACGCAGAGTCCAGACTGTGAGAGCTGGAAATGGATTCTCATTCAAGTTCATTCCATAGTTCTGGCTCTGGCAGATTCTCACACTGCATATGAGGTCAGAGCACACTCCCAAGGGCAGGGATAATAAATGACACAATGTTGAGTTAGGAGTCACCAAGTCAGCAAAAGGGTCACATTTCTAGCAGAACACTGAGAAGCCAGGCATCACACAGGCCAGGTCTGACCAAAGACAGCTTGGAGCAGAAGTGGGGAGCATGATGTAAATTATCCCTAGGTCTGGTAGGTTACCACTTGTCCCTTACCCTGGGTGCCAGGAGCATGTGTGAGAAAACAGAGGTGACACTACAGTTGCCACTGTCACAGGGGAAAATCCACAAGAATGGAATGCTTCTAGATCTCATTCTTACTCCTTTGTTCCGTGGCTTCTTAACCTTAATTTTCACCATTTTATAATTCTCTTATAGATTCTTTAAACCAATTTTTATATTGTTAATGAAGCTCCAGTTTGGTTCTACTTGATAATTCAGACTACTGAAAAAAGTACTGCTATCCAACCAGGAAGAACTAAATAATAAGGTGTTGGTCATTCTTATGTTATCAAAAACTATTGTGAATCTTGCATCTCAGCAAATATAGTGAGTATCATAGGCATTCTTTAGAATGGCTCTCTCATATTCAATAATTAATTTGCTCAAAGCTCTTCCATAATAAACTGAAGTCATGTATCACTTTTCCCCAATATGATGTCTCTGATGCTGAATGAGGTTTGCTGTCTGATTGAAAGCTTTCCCACATTTATTACACTTATAGGGTTTCTCTCCTGTGTGTATCCTGTGATGCTGGGTAAGATGTGTGCTTCGGATAAAGGCTTTCCCACAGACTTTACATGTGTAAGGTTTCTCCCTCGTGTGGATTCTCTTATGCTGGGTGAGGGCAGAGTGGTCACCAAATGCCTTCTCACATATGTTACACATGTAAGGTTTTTCCCCAGTGTGAATTCTCTGGTGTTGGGCCAGGGCTGATTGGTCCCTGAAGGCTTTCTCGCACAAGCCACATCTGTAGGGTTTCTCCCCAGTGTGAATTTTCCGATGGCGTGCAAAAGATGAATTATCCCTGAAAGCTTTTCCACATTCGCCACATTTATAAGGCTTCTCTCCAGTGTGAATTCTTTGATGTTCAGTCAGGGAAGAGTTCACCCTGAAGGCCTTTCCACATTCATTGCATTCAAAGGGCTTCTCTCCAGTGTGGATTCTTTGATGCTGAAGAAAACTTGTACTCTGGTTGAAAGCTTTCCCACATTCATTACATTTATATGGTTTCTCACCATTATGAATATTCTGGTGTTTGGTAAGATGTGCCCTGCACACGAAGGCTTTTTCACAAAGGTTGCATTTGAATGGTTTCTCTCCGGTATGTATTCTGTGGTGGTGGGAAAGATGTATATTCCGGATGAAGGCTTTCCCACACAAGTTACACTCAAATGGCTTCTCTCCAGTATGGATTTTCTGATGGTAAGTCAGCGAGGAGCTCACGGAGAATGCCTTGCCACATTCCTTGCATTCATACGGCTTCTCCCCTGTGTGGATTCTCTGGTGGTGGATGAGGTGTGTGCTCTGGTGAAAGGCTTTTCCACATTCTCGACACTCATACCGTTTCTCTTTCATATATGTTTTCTGGCTTATATTGAGTTTTTCAGTATGGGTTTCAAGATGCTTGCTAAAGGTGGAACTCTTAGAGAAGACTTTCCTGCATTTGTAACATTCAAAGGCTTTTTTGCTTGGCTGCAATCCCTGACTCTGAACAAGTGTGGAGTTTCTGGGGCAGCCCTTCCCAGACCCATGGCCCTGCTGCACCCCGACTCCTGGTGAGGTGTCCTGATGGGCGGAGGCCACTTGCTGCCAGTTCGTCTCCCGACCTTCTGGGCACTGCCACTGCAACAAGCTGGCACATTTCCAGGGACCACCTCTGGTCAGCCCTTCCTTTCCTATCCACAGATCAAACTCTTCTTCAGGAATATGCGTCTGCAGAGTAGCTATCTTATTCACAGTCATGGTCATCCAGTCTGCAAGACATTAAAAATAAGAATGTCTGCTTTACCCTGAGGAACAGAGTGATGGCATGAGATGGTGAGCTAACAACACTAATGAAGCGGTGCAGTCTTGAAGACTTCTTCAAGTGACAGCAAGAAAGGAAAGAAGAGAGGTGAGCTAAGGACTAAGGTGCAGTTATTCTAAAGTGTCCCATGTGAGCAGAATTTGGGAGCTCATCACATAGGTCCCAGGCCTGGGCCAGACTCCTCACCACAATACCTATTTCCTTTGTAATTCAAGGAAGTTAACTGACCTTCTAAGCCTCATAAAAACTGAATGTAGTCCATGCTACCCCAACAAAAGTACCTTGTCTATTTTAGTGATATGGCCTTTAAGAAAACTCAGATATAGGGCTGGCCAGATAGGTCAGTGGACTAAAGTGCCTGATTCGGCAGAGCCAGGGAGCAGTGGCTGGGGTTCGATCCCTGGCGTACAGTGTCAGCCCCACCCCCAGGCCATGCTGAGACTGTGACAGAGACTGGGAGTGGTGGCAGGTGCCTGTAATCTCAGTGCTTGGGAGGCTGAAAATAGGAGGATCACTATGAGTCCGATCTATGTAGTGAGACCCTGTAGACCCTGCACTAAATTCACTAAAAAGAAAAAAAAAAAAAAAAAAAAAAAAAAAAGAAAACCCAGATGTGGCCTTACAAATCAATGAAAGTCAAAGTCAGTACTTGAAGAAAAACCTTAAGGGCAAGTACTAACATAGACTTAAATTTATGTTCTGTCTATTCATTTGAGTATCCAGATGGAAATAAAAGGCTAGGCTGATGGGCTGTATGGAACATTCACACTTTATGCTCAGAGGAAATAACGTCTCCAAACCCATGTGAAAACAGGACATCTACATGATGAAAGCAGACCACGTTCATGGAACAAAACCTGAAAATCAGGAAGAGAGCACATGCAGCTAAATCCATCACGTCTACGGAGAGGCTGTGAATCTGGGGACCAGGGCATTCACAAGGAATGAGATTCTGCTGCCTGAACAGTGGCGAGAGCCCATGAGTTACTGCCAAAGAATTCCTCTGCCCAGACAAAGATTCCTCACTTACTCAACAATCTTCTCACACTTGGGTTCATGGGTATCTTGATATGAATAAGCAGAGTTCTGGACTGCATTTTATTTTTGCATACATTTGTGAATATCCACCTTTAATTGAGGTCTATTTAAGACTTTATATTAAGAAACATAATGCGAAGGACATGATACTCAACCCTGCCAATGCAAAGATTCCTAGGAAATCCTGTAGAAAACAAACTTCGTCCATCATTTTCCTTCCCCACTCATTCCAGAAAATTCTCTACAAAACCTACAATTTAAATAACTATAATTATTTGGAAAAGAAAGTTAAACTGTTACACTTTAAGGCTAAAGTCCTGAGCTCAAGCTAAAATAAGCTTGCTCAAAACAAAGAATGATTAAAATTAAAAGAGAGTATGGCTGTCTCTGAGGATCTATGACTGGTTCTAGAATTCCTCCCAGATACCAAAATTCATGCTCAATCACTTGCATGAAATGACATTTGCCTAGTACCTCTGTACAACCTTTTGCACACTTCAAATCATCTTTGGATGACTAATAATAATACAGTGTAAATGCTCTGTGCTGTGTCAATACAATTGCACTGTGCAGGAAATAATGCAAGGAAAAATGTATACATATTCAGTAAAGAATCCATCATCATTACAGGCCTAACTGCACAGTATGCAGTTCACAGCCAGGTGGCTCTGCAGATATGGAGCCTGCAAATATAGAAGGCTGACTGTTTATCAAACCTCAAAATATTAGGGGCTGACCTGCATGTCTGGTCAATATAAAGCAAATTGTGGCATGTCACATTTCTGCAGAAAACAGCTAGAAAATCCGGACCAAAAAAAATAGTCTTGTATGAAGGCATGTCATCCAAGGGAGATTTAATAATCTACCATTTGGGAGAGAAAGGAAATAGAGAGGGGTAATTCACCACTTGTGCTCTTTTCCTCAAAGAATTTGATGATGTGTTAAACTTCTGATGGACAAAAGACAAAAGGTTAGCAGAAATCCAGAATTTTCTATAGTCGTCAAAGGAGGGCTCATAGTGACACGTGAAGCTCTCAGTTAGGACCCTTGCTGGGCTCTAACCGCTAAGGAATAAGGACAAAGAAAAGGTGACAAAACCACCAGCTCGTGTAGGCCCTGGCTGGACTCAGGTGCTGTGTTCGCACCTCTCTGGAAGGATGGAAAATGTGCAAAGCCTTTGGACTTCTTTACACATAATGCCGGGAATTTAACTAAAAATACCAGAAGTGCTAAGAAATTGAATGAAGAGAATAAAGAGACAATAGCAAAAAGTAGAAGAAATCAGACACCAGAATTATCAGACATAGACTTAAAAAAAACCCTTGATAACAAACTTGAGGAAAAAGAAGACTGAGAATTACAACAGAGAACTGGGACAAAAAAATGAAATAGAAATCTTAGAACTGAAACACAGAATCAAAATTACAAACTAAGTAACTAGATTTAACAGTATCTTGAAAACTGCAGGAGAAAGTGAACTGTACAAACACATAGGCAGGAAGTCCCGGTGGTCTGGCTTTGACACACTCCCCCATGTGCTGCGCAGCTCAACTGTTAGAAATTTAAACCCTACATTCATATGTCGATGGTATCTGTAGGTCGGGGCTTTGGGAGGTAGGAAGGACAGATGAAGTCATGATGCTGGGATGGCGTAAGTCACCTCAGAAGCGGTGGCGGGGGCCGTGGAGACGGCTCAGTGGAATAAACACTTCCCTGGCAAGCGCAAAGGCCTGAGTTCAATCCCGGGTTCCACACACACACACAAAAAAAAACCAAAACGAAAACCACTTAAAAAAAGAAGTGGTGGCAGACAGACTGGAGCCAGCTCTCTTGCTCTGTCTCCTCACGCGATCTCGTCCGCCATCGTATGGTGCAGTAAGACGTGCTTGCCACACCCTCGGGTGTTCCAGACTCCAGAACGGTGAAGCAAGTACCCTCATCACTTTACCTCACTTTCCCTCATCACTTTACCTCAGTTATTGCAACAGAAAACAGACTAAGACTCTTTGGCAAAAGGTGAAGGGAAATAACTGGAAAGAGGCACGCCTGACTCAGTGAAGCGCTCGCGTGGATGCGTGATGAGAATCAGGGCAGAGAACGGACCATAACATAATTTAAAATGAGAAAGGTCAAAAATGGAAGTCTCCTACTCCATGTAGGATAAATCCAAGAAAATCCACAGAGGCGCACCACAGCAAAACTACTGCAGACCAAAGGAGTATGCTGAGAGCTGCTTGGGAAAACAAGACCCAGCACCTGCAGGGACGACGGCGAAGCCTGGCAGCATCTCTCCAACAGAAATAATGGAAGCCAGACATAAAGGAGCTCATACTAGCACGATGAGATGAGCGTTTCAGGCAGAAGAAAAAGAGTTCCATGTATAAAGGTGGAAATGTAAGGAAGAATACAAAGTAATGGGAAAAATAAATATGTGGATAAGTTATTATTGATTGCATAAAACAACAACTATGTATATGTGGTTGCAAATATATGTATAATTAAGTAAAGAAAAATACATAATAAAAAACCACAAAAGATGGAAGGAAGAAATGCTGTTAATGTAAAGTATAAGGCTTGCCTGAGAATTATTAAAAGAGGTTAAAATTTGTTCATGTAAAAAAAGTAAAAAGTTACTTTGGATGGCAATAAACTGGTTTTGCATATTAAATTTACCACATAAAGACTAAAGAAAGTAAATTAAGTTAAAACAGGGTGAAAATACGAAATATTTCACTAATCCCAAAGAAGGAAAGAGAAGAGATAAGAGCGGATCTAAAACAAGGTGATTAAAAGAGAAAATAAATAAGATAGTAGACACTAAATCTCACACATATTAGTAATTGATCTAAATTGTAAGACTGAATAATAAAAATAAAATTTAACCAAACACCACTGAGAAAATACAAAGATTATAAAGATCAAAATATTGAGACTAGAAGACTGAATGAAAAGTGCTAAATTGTGCAGAGCCGTGCATCTATACCAAGCTCGACACATCACGCAACACTAAAGTCAACAGACTTCAAGACATTTCATATGGACAAAATGGCCAATTTTTCAAGATTGCATAACACATTTCCATTTGCAGACAAATATTGTATTTCAAAATATATTTTTCTTCAAAAGCAAAACACTTAGAGAATGAAAGGGAAGCCTTGCGTGTTCATAACTGCAGCGAGAGATGTTCATGTATCACCTGTGATGATCAGACATCAAGCCAGTAAGAGGAAGGAAAACTTCAACAATACGACAAACAACTTCAACCTAATCTGCACACTTGGAACACTATACCCAACGACAGCACGTGCACACCTTTATAGTGATCATTTACTAAGACTGACTAGAACTGTGATTATCACAAGATATTCTCTGAACTCAGTGGAATGAGCAGTAACGACGCCGCAGTACCCACTGGCTAATCAGAAACTGCACGTGTGTCTGCCAGGTGCTGACCCTGTTCCCAAGTCCACACATGGGAGCCAACCCTCTGCGCAGGTGCTGAGAGGCGGGACCTCTGACAGGAAGGTGGTCTGGGGTCTGTGCTCAGCAACGGACCAACACTCGGCGGCAGCGGGTGAGCCGGGCACCCCTGCCCTCCTCTCTCACACACACACTCACATATTCTCTCACCAGGTGACGGCTCCTACCATTTAGGACACAGCAAAAAGGCTCTCACCACGTGCAGCCTCTTGGTCCTGGGCTTTCCAGTGTCCTGACTATGAGCTACATAAACTTATTTCTTTAATAATTACCCAGTGTGTAGGATTTGACACAGAAACAAAATGGACTAAAACAATCTTTAAATTAAGCAATATCATTCTATTTATTTATTTATTGAATACAGGATCTCACTACACAGTTCAGACTCATAGCGATCCTCCTGTCTCAGCCTCCCTAGTGCTGGGATTA